CTATAACTGTAATTTTGCTACTGTTATGAATCGTAATGTAAATATCTTTTTGTTTTCCGATGGTCTTAGGCGACCCCTGTGACAGGGTCGTTCGACCCCCAAAGGGGTCGCGACCCACAGGTTGAGAACTGCTGCGTCTAGTCCATTGTTCATGCTGTGTTTGTGTTGTCTTCTTTTTAACTCACAAATTTGATTATGGTCTTCCTGGCTTAAAACCTTTGATTTTTTTTACTGACGGCCAAAGTCTGTTCAACAAAACACAGCATTTAACAGTTTTCAAAATCTGACTCCTACCTGTTTTTTCAGTTTCCTACCTTTTTACTCCCTCTTTGTACTATTCTAGGAATTACCTATTTTAACTTATACATTTTTTAAAGAACAGTTTGTGTTCACAGCAAAATTGACAGGAAGGTACTGAAATTTTTCATACATCCTTTGCCCCGCACAAGTAGGGCCTCCTGCATTTTATCAACATCCCCACCAGAGTGGTACATTTGTTACAATCAGTGAACATTGATACACATAATCATGCAAAGTCCATAGTTTACTGTAGGGTTCCCTCTTGGTGGTGTACATCCTATGGGTTTGAACATCTGTGTAATGACATGTGTGTGTCACTATAGTATACAGTATATGCTGCCCTAAAATCCTCTGTGCTCTGCCTGTTAGGAGTTAAGCATTTGCACCTGTGTACTTGAGACATGTTACTTGTGCTTTCATGGTGCCCTGTTTGTAATTCTCTCCCACTGCTGATTTACCTAATTCCTCATGTTCTGGATACATCTGAAGAGTCACCTCCTCTTTGCAGCTTTATCTGACACCCCCAGCAGCATTTCCCTACCACTTAATGCATTCGCTGTTGCAGAAGTTATCAGAGTTTATGAAATTATACTTATTTACCTTTATTCTTTCCCACTAGGCTTCTTTGAGGACAGGGACACTGTCTCATTCGTCTTAGTAAGTTAATACATAACAGGTGCTCAGTAAAAAATATGCTGCATGAGCAAATGTCCCAACAGTCAAAATGATTGTTTTCCAGAAGAGCAAACTGAAGGTGGAGGCTTTGCCCAAGGTGCTTAAGCTAGTAAACAGTAGAACTGGGATTCCAGTCCAGCGCTTTTCTAGGAATATTTCTGCCACTGAGGGCAGCAGAACCTTACTTCAATGTATAGGGTAGATTAAAGGAAGTGGACACTGTTGAAATAGTCTAGTTGTGATATGTTAAGCTGTTACACCAAGATGGGTGGCAGCTGACATCAAAGGAAAAATCTCAGTGTTTTTGGATGTAAAACACATAGGAGGAAGGAGAAGGATGCATCAGGAAGTCCCGGAGAATTTTGAGCTTTGGAGATTGGAGTTGGTAGGAAGAGATAGCTGTTTATCGTTATTGTTAATAGCATTGTTATTAATAGTAGCATTTTCCATGTGCCAGCACTGGGTTTAGTGCTTTGAGTGCACAGCTCAGTGAGGCATCAGAGAACCCTTTGCAGTAGGTAGCGTAATTATCTTTGTCTTTATGCTTGAGGAAAGGGAGGCTGAGAGAGGTTACGTAACTTGCCAACTTGGAATCAGGATTCAACCCAGGCTGCCTGACTCCTGGCCCTGCCGTCTTCCCTAATTTATTTATGTATTATTTTTTTTTTTAAGATTTTTATTGGGGAATTAGGGGATGGGAACAGTGCTGGGGAATTGGGGAAGGGGAACAAACAAGTTGCTGTCCTTTTGTTCTTCAGTCTAGTTGTGGAGGACGTTGCTTCACTGGCCCAAGTTGGCACCATCATTGCGCTCTTCCCGGNTAATATGAAGTATGGCTTGCAGTCTCCTCTCAAGCAGGCTCCACAGATAGCAAACAATTGGATTTTCCCAGAAGTTGTGAAACAGATGAAATTTACATTTTCTAGTATAAACTCTTGCACTTGGGGATCAATTTTTTAAGAGGTGTTTCCTGCTGTTGGATTTGTGGTAGTCAAAACTCTCATTTGAGTATATTTTATATACGCATGAATTCCTAGTACTACAAAATACTGAGAGCATAGATATCTTGTTTTTATTGTCTGTCTTTTTCCAATATAAATGAATATGGACATTTTTAACAAACGTACCAAGATACACAAAACCTGAGTCTCTTTTATCCGAGGACTTATGAGACTCACATTGTCCTAAGTTGTTCATTACTTGTGTCTTGTTCCGTATCACATGACATGCTATTGCTTAGTATTTACTGAATTGAATTACATGGTAATGGGAACAGATTTAGTGTATGCTTATGTAATGTTGCATCTTTCTCCTTCATGGTAAGAATTATGATTTCTATTTATTCAGTCTCAGGAGTTTTATTTAAAAAACTCATTCTGTGTCTAGTTCTAAAAGGACTTGAATTGATTTGTATATTATAATACAGTAGGATAAGAAATAAGTAGGTACTGAACTCAAAGAGAAATATGGGTAAGACAGTAAAATGAAGCTAGAAGTACAGTTAGTATACACAGATATACTCCTAAGTCCTACACAATTTCTAGAACTGGCCCACAGACTTGGCTCTGCGATTTTCTGAGTCCAGATAAAAAAGGCAACATAATTCATTATGAAAAGTATTTCCAAAGCCCTTAAAATAAATCCAGCCCATTGCTGAGAAGATCTCACTGAGCCTTCAGGAGGCTGAGTGTGGAGACCACAGAGAGGGGACACAAGTCCAAATATATAGGGACTCCCAAATCCTTACCAAATAAATAAAAAAGATAGAGATATTTAGAGATAGAAGGCGTTTTGCAGGCCTCTGAGGGTCTCCATTTACTCTTACCACAGAAAGATCTGTTCTGTGTGGTACCAACATCATCAGCGCTACGTAACTCTGGAAGCAAAGCGGTTAACTTGGGGTTGGGTTTGTGTTTTCCTAGACATGTGGGGTGGTCCCGAGGGCCCATGGTCTTCTGGTAAAATCTTATTCCAGCTTAGGCTAGTGCTTGGTCTGAATTTGGAAGAGAGTTCATAGAAGCCTGCTTGGGGAAAAATTGAGGCTTTTCAGGGCTGAACCCTATGCCAGGACTCCTAATGAATGGTAGACTGCACTTTCTTAATATACTGACAGAGGCCAGGTAAGCCTTTACCCATAGGAGATGGTGAGTGATTGAAGTTATGATTTTGCCCCATTCTTTCTTTCTGTCCTTTTGAATTTTGTAGAAACTTGAACTGGATCGATTTATGCTGTACGCCCATGGACCTGACCTTTGTAGAGAATCAGACCTTCGACATGCAATGGCTAATTGTTTTGAAGCATTAATAGGTAATTTCTCTTTTTATAATCGAGTTTCTTACATGTCTAAATTGTCTGGAGAGCTCATAAAATTCATTGTGAAGCCTTGGGGCAGAATGACTGTTCCCAAAGCACACGAGGTCCCTCATATTGGACCCATCTCCTCGTACTGTGGTTTTCCTAGCTCCTGCAGGGCAGCCGTCGCGCTCTCGGCGTTCCTGGTGTCTGAAGTGGCGTCTGATGTCATGTACATGCTTAGTTACAGATACTGAATCGAATTAAGTGAATTAATATGGAGATGGGTTACTTTACATATTTGACTCAGGATCACATCTATAAATAAACAGTAACTCAGTTGCTGGTAAAGCCCTAATATTGTTTTTGATCACATTTTCAACTATTCACAAGAGTGGCTGATTTATACATCTTGAAAACACTGCATTTTTAAAATCCCAGGGCTTACGCCTGTATAGCTTTTGTTTCTTCTCTTGAAGCAGGACTGATGCAGGCACTGTACCCTTAGTTCATTTTTACTGTAACCAGAGTACAGTTGTTGGTACAGGAAAGTAGTGAAGAGTTAATTATCTGGTGATTGCAAGTGTGCTTTACAATGAAATGTTACAGTAGATTGACAATTCTTTGATTTTTTTTCTTAGGTGAATGATTGAGTACATTTTAGTTTTCAAAGGC